TTTGGCCGGAAATATGGCCGGAAATGGTCACCCGAAGGATGTTCGTGAGTTAAGAGACCTTTGGCTTTGATACCATGTAAATGGTGTGAAACCGAATTGGTATTATATAAGATGTGTATACAAGACTAGATGAGCCCTCTATTTATAGGATTAGAGAGGGACTAATAAGCAATAATAAATTACATACAGATCCCTAAGCTATAGCTATTTACAACTAACACATTGGTTTCTACAGAAATATTTCATAAGTAAAGGAACTTCAACGTTAAGACTTCTAGCAAGCTTTGCAAGTGAATCACTTAATAAACGGTCCTAAAAAACAAAATCAAGGCCAGCAAAAACTAAGAGCATGAGGACCGCTTGAAAAGTGAAGGAACCCAACATTCATTTGAGAAAAATAGTGCTTCTACGAGGAAGTGAACCTTGGAGCAAGTAGTAACTTCACTCCTTGATAGTCGAGAGCAGCCCTGTTTGGCACGCTAGAAAAACAGGATTGGACAACCACACGATTTGATAGCATTTTAAAAATTAATTAACTTTTATAAATTAAAATCAAAAATTCTTGACGCTTACCAATTCCCACTTATTTGTGACTCATGATATTAAGACTCTTTGGAAACCGAAAAACATAAAGAACTCAACTGATCAAATTTTTGTCATCCCATTGACCATTTCTTTTATAGATGCTCCATATTTTGCGAAACAATTTTTTAATTATATATGTACATTGTTATGTATTTACGTCTAATTTTATGTAGAAAAAAATGTCATGTACTTTGAATTATTTTACATAACTTGTGATTTTATGTACGTTTTCGTTTTCCTTAAAATGTAATAAAGATTTTTATGATTAGCCCGTGGGCAAACCGACCCGTTTATAGAGCAGGTAAGGGCAATTCTCCAAGCCCATAAAAAGGGCTTGGATTTACTATAGTAGGCCCGTTGGACAAAAAAATAGGTTAGGTCCGGAGCGGGCCTGGCCTGGCCCACAAATGATCAGCTCTACTTGACAGCCCACAAATGATCAGCTCTACTTGACAGGATGGTCAAACGTTCAAGCCATGGAAGCAACCTCATTGCAAAATGCAAGGGACATGGTGTATAAAGACTTTCCTCCCCAACCCTCCAAAGCCAAGGAACCTTGGTGTAGGTCACCTTTAAGGTACTTCTGCTACTTACAATTTATGCAGTGCAAAGACATGAACTGATTGTAAGAAGGGTTTTATCCAGCTCCTGATCTTGGCTGATGCACCAAGAGGACAAGCTTTTTGACCCTAACTAAAGACAACAAATAAATTAAGAGGTGATACCAATGAATTCTGTGAAAAGCTTAGTTTAGAAGGTCTTGCTTCAGAATGAACATGTTGGTTTTTACATTTGTCTACCAATATGCTTATTATTGGTATGGTTTTCCCATTCATATAGGTTTTCTAAGTGACATAAAGCTCATTTGTTGACTGATCAACTATTTTGACTTTTGAGTGATTGTTGGTAAGAACATTGACAATAATGCTGGTCCCACCCTCCCCCTCTCATACACGAATACACAATCCCAACACAGATGACTCCTTTTGCTTCTTTTTTATACATGTAAATAATTTGATGCTTACAGTGTGTCTCTACATGTACATGACAGATGCACAGTTTGATATTTGGTATTTGCTACTCACACCACTACCCCACATTCTGGCAGGATATATGCTTGAAGCTTTGGTTCTAACTAATGCAATTACTTACCTCGCATACAACTGCTCCATTAATATATTTGCATGGTATATCATCCAAGAAATCCGCAGGCAACAGACCACGCTCAATAGCCTTCAAGTACAAGAGCAAAACAAGTGGTCAAAGAAAAACCTCTTCACAAATCACTCTTTGCAAGCTTAATAGAACTTGAATGTAGGCTTAGACAAAGAGCTATGCTACAACTCAAATCTTTTAAGTGCCATAACAGAACAGTGAAAATGCAGGTATGTAAAAATAGACAACTGAAAGTCTGAAACAAGTAATCTTCAATAAGTTCTTTAAGTCCCATTTGCATAGGTACTTCAAGTGTACACTGCCGATAGTTAGATGCAAGTATGAAGATTAACACTTACCAAGAATAGGCTTTCTGATGTCCGATCGTATGGGTGCAAAAACTTTGGATCATCTTGTACAGCGGCTTGATGCCCAATCCGATTCTAAAAATGTGTACAAAGACGGAGTTAGTTGAGAATGACGATTAACAAACTATAAAATTTTCAAACCTTGACTATTAAAAGCAAAGCAGAAAACTGACACAATGTGCAACAAACCTCAGAAGGGTTCCCAATTGAATAGCCATCGGGAAACAGGTTCATAAAGAAAGAAATGTCTGCATCTGCAAAACATAAAATGAAAATAAAAAAATAGCAATTAAAGGAAACACAGCTGTGACTAAAGGCAGACTGAATCAAGGAAGTAAATGTTCCCTTGGCAAGATACCTGAAATTCCAGCATCGTCCTCGCCATCCTCAATGACATCAACCTATACACATATCAGCATATATTATGGAAGAAGACACCTTGAATATATTGAACAGATCAGTTAAAGTATATAATAGCTAAATTAATCACGAGTTAAGACCAATTCTTTCTAGATCCCTAACACCACAACCCGTAAATTGCCTCAATCACTTCACAATCATCGTTCAACCAAAGGAAAGCAAAACAACAGCATTTGAGGAGGTAATAATGACGCATGGTAATCCTGTAGGAACAGTATGTATCAAAACTGGCTCCAAGTCGTATGTCCCAGCTCGTATTGGGCTAGTGAATAGTAAGACAGGGTTGTAGGGTGCATGGTCCAGCATGTTCAATCACCAGCTTCCCAAAAGGAAAGGTTAAAGATTTACATACTTGAAGATATATGTGCTACTTAAACATAATAATACATTATAAGAAAAGATTCGGATTCATCTAATGTCTTCAACAGAATTCCTCTGCAGCCCTTCAGAGCCTAACATCTTGATAAGGAAGAATGCCCATGCATAATTCTGTAGGATTTATTTTAACTAAACGTAGATGTTTAGATACGAAAAGGTCATCCTCTTTTAACTTTGTAGAAGCTAGAAACAAAATCCCGAGTTTATATGATTTAAAATATATAACGCCAAGCAATGTTAATGACAGAACAATTCCTCAGAACAGTTATATAACATAAATATCTAACTACATAAACTGACCAATAGCGTATAGACTTCGCATATGACAAAGTATAGTAGGACAAGGCTTGAAGGAGAACTTAAAAGTAACAGGCGCCAGTAAAATTAGTGTTTGATGCAAAAGAACAATAAGAGTTAAATTGATAGTATAAACTGAGCCAATAGCAGTTGAGCGATAACTCCTGTGCTAACATGTATCATAACAATGACAATACTTGAAACAGAGTTCAAAAACAATGATACCAATGCTGTGTGGTCAATAATAATTACTAATTAAGGCCCAGACGAGGAAGAAACAAACGGACTAAAGTGAGGAGTTCATTGGTCATACATAGTTGAGGAGGATGGGGGCCAACCTCGTTCATGACCCATGGCCCCAGTGCCTCACTTGGTTAGCATTTCTAGAAAGGGAGAGCTTCTGTGCCTCCCTCCAGGAGAAACAGTTAAACATTAAATCGATCAGATCAGCAGTAAGCCGCTACTTCACCCTGCATCTACTTCTTTTTTCTAGAATTCAAGTAACCTCAGAAATTCTAAAAGTACATTACTAACATACACTGGTACTCCCTCCGTCCTAAATAAATGGGCTTATAAACCTTCAAAAGTTACCCCAAAGAAAACAAGCGAATTGAGTTTTTTAACTTCGTAAAGTACACTTTACAATGTTTCTGTAATTCCCGAATTCGTCTGTGTTCAATACGTAATCAACTGACTACTCTTTTTCCCCCAAGACAGTTCTCATAATCATCAATTTTGACAGAAAATATGCCTTCCCTACGGTATTATCACTACGTTACAAGACAATTGCGATTTGGAGCAATTTATACTCAGATTGATAAAAGATCTCTTAAAATCAATTAATTTGGGGTAGAGAGAGTTCAGTTTAACGCCAAAAAAAAAATTGTAAGTCAGCTGGAACAAATGAATAGAAAATTTAACCGATTTTACAAAAACTTCTCAGACAAAAAAATTGAACTAAAAATAAGATGATAATATACCGATGGTTTTGTAGTGGAGATAACAGATAGATTCTTGGGAATTTCAGGAGGGGCGTCGACATCGTCTTCTTCTAGAACTTTAGGAGTTTCAGGTTTAGGTTTGGGGCGAGCACCTATCTTCGAAACCTTGAAAGAAACCCTCATTGTCATTCAATTGGGGGAATAAGATTCAGTTTTTAGAGCAAATAGGAGTAATTCCACCAAGGAATCCGATAAACCCCGACGCTTTAACAAGGGTTGCAATTACATTGACATTACAACAAGATCGCCATAGACGGAGCTTCGCAAGCAAGAAAAATAGAGAGGGGTTTGGGATTTTATTGCAAGAGGGATGAAGGCAGATTATATATTGTGCGGTCGGTGGGACCAATTGACTTGGCTTCTCCTACTAAGCTCCGAGCCTCCGTTTGGCGGTTTGGGTTTTTTTTTCTGTCGGAAAGTATGGTATTTTATAGAGCAAATTTTATAAAAGTATTAAAGATAAGTTATTATGTATAAAACTACTTAGTACAACACATGGTTTTAAATCTCTTAACTACAACATTAAAAGCTTAAAGTACAACTACATAATGCATAAAAGCCTTCCACAACCCTGTGAGGACTCACATTCATATGCCATCGGTTTGACAGCCCCAAGACATTCACATGCTCACAAGAAGATTATTGAGGCCTCCAAGACGATGCTTTTTACTCTCATTGCAAAGGTTTTTAGTGGTGCTTATCGCTTTCGGCTTTCATACGCATATCAAGGTTTCTATTCTTAAAATTGTCCGCTCCTATCATTGCTCAAGGTGAAGATTGAAGCTCCCAATGTGACGATTCACATGAATCCATCTTCCCTGTATGACGATTCAAACGTGAAATTTGATGCTTCATGATTCAAATCCATCTTCGCTAAATCTATTCTCCATCTTACGTAAGGTTTTTTCTATTTCTCCATCTCAATTTTGATCATCTTCCTCATTTGACTCGATCCATTAACTCATCCATTTTGGCTCACATATTAATCGATTATTGTCTGTTTGATGAATATGAGTGGTTAGATTATGAAACATTGGTGATATCAAATCCATGATGGTAAGAATCTTGTTCCGACTGATTTATCATGTTTTCAATAATTGAGGTTTTCATTTGATTATGCCTCCAGATGTGTATTGTAGATACATTGAGATCATGGGATAAGTGCTATATCAGGAGAATTATGGGGTTGTTGCAGCCTTCATGTAACCCAGTTGTTAATGCATCAAGTAACTGCAACCCACATTAAATAACTTTTGTCTGATAGTCGTGTTTTTATTATTGTCTTTTTCTGGGCTAAGCACTATGAATTATAACAATGAGGGTGTTATTGTGAAAGCTTTAGTTTTTCCAATGCTGGAAAGTAGCTTCAGTGTCATGATAGACACTTTATGAGAATTTATGTGCTAAATATTCTAAGAGGGCATGTTGGGAATGGTCTCAAGGTACTTATGCTAACTGCTAAGAACCTGGGTTGTTACCAATTTCTAAGCATTATGATCATGATCATTGTTCCTAGTTGTGGCGTGGTCTAAGAATCACGAGTTACTCATTTGTAGATAATTGTTGGACTTCACTATCGATGTTGAGGCCATGATTTTTCTATTTGTAATGCTTGATCTAACTTTATTTTCGCTTGCTTTTGCTCTTCAATGTGTTTCTCAAAACTCAGATGGGGCATGTTGGTGCATATGATGTAATGGGAAAAAATAGGAGGTCCTTACGACACCATCGTGTAAGTTTAAGCTAAGCCATGATGCAAACAACAGATTCGACCCAAATCTCAATTGCTCATGTCGTGGCTTCTATCATGCAACTTAAAATGCAACCATTTCATGAGTTTTTTTTTTTTGTGTGTTTTCTAGTTCCCTTGTGAGAAAAAAGAACCCCTAGTTCAAGGTTCTCTGCCAAAAGCAACCAATTAATGAGTTTGATATGGAAAATTATGTGTATGTTAGGAGATTGTCTCGTTGTTATCTGACTTTTGTGGCATTTGATGATCAGTTCCACTTTCAAGAAATTAAATTTATTCAATCCGGTTTTGAAGAATCATAGACTTCCATTCCTCTTCTCTTCGGCTTCAACTACTTGTTGTAAGTTTGTAACAAAATCTATTTTGTCTATTTTTATCTTTGGTTTCCATGTTTTTCATCTTTTTGTACAATATGTAGTTTTATAAGTTTGTTAAAAATACCTCTTAAATAATTGTTATATTGTCTTTTAACATAGATATAGAACGATGGGCTCCTTAATAATATGGAATCGGTAAAGGGAGGGGTGACTTGCTACTTAGGAGTATAAATGATTTGATGATGAGAATGATTGACCTCATCTTGCTTTTTTTACTTTAAATAATTTTGTTTTGTTATACTACTTATCTTAGTTGGTTTTAAATTATACGCTCCTTAGCACACAAAGTGGTATGGTTGCAACTAAAGAGGATTGTGTAAAAAGTCTTTTTAAACCTGAGACATGGTGGAATTTTAGAGAAGTATCTATTGGGTTACGGGATCTCAAGCACAACGGAAAAAAAAAATTAACCCTCCAAGGACCTATATGAACCGAAATAAATCGGGTGTTTCGAAATTATACCTCATAGTTAGAGAGATTTGAATCTAAGTGACAGCTTGGAATCGCAAGTGTTCACACAGTGGGAACAAAGTCCCCTCGGTGGCGATGCAAGTGCACGCCCACACTATATGATCGCTTCAAGTAATAAAGTGGTATAGTACCAAGATTTTTTCCACAGTGATTGGACTATTGAGAATCAGAGAGTTTCATAAAACTTCTTGAGCATGTTTTGGTTTGTGAATAAAAGTCAAGTTTTTGTTGAAATAAATGCTTAAAATACGAAATAAACCTTTTTAAATTAAGAGATGGAATGGGTGTAAGTTTTCCTTAAGACGATTGTAGGAACATGATGGTCAGAAACTCATAGGACTTCTGTAAAAACTCCAATATCTCAAAAGTGAATTTTCATATATTGTGCCCACAAAATTCTCACTGTCATAGATTTTAAGTTTGCAAAATTAGCTAAGTGATAAAAAAAATCTAGTTCCACTAGTCTGAAGATTTATACTCAAATCTCCTTGTAGTGTAAATCTCGACTAATATTTAAACTTTAGCTAAAAATATGTAAAATCTGTATCTCTACGTGATTATCAAAGATTCTCTCAAATCTTTGTGCATCACTTAAGCCGTATTTCGAATTTGTTCATCTCTGGATCAATGATATAATATTAACACTTTAAAGTGATCAGCTTATCTGCATTGAGTTTAAGTCCCGACTTTAAGTGACCAAGCTTAAGAATTAGTATCAATGGAAACACCCAGGTGTGCCTACTAGTCTTAAGTTTGACTCACACTCACACCTAAAAGAGGTGATTAGCTCATAATAGACATAGGAAACATAATATAAGACAAGAAATAAAACTAAAACGTAACTTTCTTTAAAATAGAACAAAAGTCTCCTGCCCACAGTGGTGAAATTGTGTGCAACAAATTACAATTAAGAAGAAAATTACATGCTAAAACTTAACTTAAAAGAAAAAGAAGAAAGATTTCAGCTAAGTTGTGCTTTAAAGGGATGATCTTCAAATTAAGAGTAAATGCTTCAATTTTATAGGAGAAAGGGAGAGATAGACATCCCTTTTATCCAAATGAAAGAAACATCTTTCCTACTTTATGACAAATACTTCATTCCATTTTTCTTGCAAGATCTTCCAGACTTATCATCCTTTTTTGAAAGAACGCAAAAGGTAGGGATGGTCTTTCCCTTGATTTAAGGGAAAAAATACTTTAAGTCATTTTTTAAACAAAATAGCCCATATCTTTAGATTTTGTGAAATTTAAAGAATGGACAATAGATTTAAACTCTTTAAATACCCAGAAAAAACATTATTTAATCTTATCCAAGTCTGTCTTGAAGAAAAATTAACATAGTGTGCAGAAAGTGGGCAGGCGGTGAGCACTTTTCAGCAGTGACGATTTTTTAGAATAAAATCAAATCTTTGACTTTTCATCACCTCTTAAGAACATTTTAGACCAAAAATATGAGATAGAGGCAAAATTGGTACATAAAAGACATAAAAATATGAGTATTGAATAACAAATAACTCTCAAAATTGAGAGTTATCACTAAGCAACAAACAAGACTTGATGCCTCCATGGTATCCACGCGAACAATTTGAATCATTTGTCTTCTCGTGATACTAATCACGGTTTCAAAACTTAGAAAGAAAATGGAGCATATGTTGTAGGTTATTTTAGAGAGAAAATTGCAAGAGCAAGAATTGCATATAATGTCATACATTTTATAGTTATGAGATGTATGGCCTAAAACCACCACTATCCATACACCTTACTTGAGTGTAAGGAGTAGTTTACCAAACGCTTACTTGGGTAAGTGAACACCAAGTCACATTACCTTATTGGATGAATATGGTAAAGATCAAGAATCTTACCCAGTAAATGCGAGACAAAGACTAAGAGTCTTATCCGGTAAGTGAGGATAAATTATTGCATACGATACCATTTTGATGGACTAAAATCTTATCCGGTAACTAAATGATAATGTTAAGCACTTACAGGGTAAATGTTTAGTAAACGGCACCTAAGACTTTACAAACACCATCCATCTCCTTTTAAGACCATCCCTTGCCAACCTACATTATGTCCAACATAACATAATATTTTATTTTTATTTAATTAGATATAATAATTAAACATTTTAATTATTAAAACTTCTTATTCAGATATGTTGAAAGCCTATGACCCAATGAGTTCTCGACATGTTGATAATAAATATAAATCTCATATTTATATTTTAATAAATAAGGAGCGGTATCTAGCAATATATCATTGCCAACAAGAGTCTGTGATACAACAAACTATTGATTTGTAGTCAATTGTAGCTTACATATTTAATTATGTTGTCATTGATGTCCATATTGAACACGAAACATTGAATGTGTCATTCTCATCATGTCCAACCTCTAGTTTATTGATTCCCTAATATACTGATAAAACAGATCATGATATCTCATATCAATTATTTGAGCATGCATGCATTTCCTTAGTGTATATTTATCAAGGGGCCCAGAGACATCACTTCCGTCATAAAATGAGGAACAAATCCTATCTCGATATATGCTAGTTCTACCATGTGATATATAAAATACCCAACAACCATTCTATCACCCAGTTACAGAATGATTATAATAAATGTCAAAACACGTCACTCACACACAACAACTCCATGTTCTCAAGTCAAATAATTACATGTATATTGACCACGTGAGAAACACTTATGGCACACACATAACATTCAATGCATTGTTCTCACAGCAGTCAAGTCCGGTACACAAAATCTCCATCTTGTACCCATACGTAGATTCGATATCTCTATATGAATCTTTACATATGCTAGTTATTATCATATTACTTCAACCTTAAACCCGAAATAATATTTAACTAGAGACATTTAGAATACATAATTTTGAGTTTATTTATTATGAATAATTAAAAGACGCATATAATATAAACATAACAAAATGGACAAACCTTTTATTTATTTATTTATTTCATGAAACAAAACTCAAAATTACAATCATAATATGATTGATTTTTGGGCTTTCACTAACGGTGTCATAAAAAATAAACATTCCTATACATGGCTTTGGTGCTTTAGAAATCTGTGAGTGTGCACCTAAATTACAAAAACAGATCATGGATACGTTCTTCAAACTATGTTGATGTTTTTTCTTTTAAAGTGGAGGACGGTTTTAATGGTTCCTCTTTTGGCCTAAGATGCATTTGTTTGTTTCCTATGGTTGTGGTCAGATATACCTAAATATACTTTATGTTGTTTTTCGTGTTTAACTGTTGTTTTGGAGATTTGTTTGTAAATCTTTCTTCGCTGCATTTTCCAATGAGGTTCCAGATACGTGTTAGATATTATCAATTTGTGGGTTTTTGGGATCATTGGTTCTGCTCTCAAGAGTTGCCGCTTTGGATCCTTCATTATGTTAAACTTGTTGCAAATTAGTTGATGGCTTTGTTGGGCATGGGGGATGTAAGTGGGCTGTGAATTCTTATTATATCCTCCAAAAGTTATGGTTTTATGGATTTTTTTTCCTTTAGGTATGGTTGTTGTTCTAGACTTTTGTTCCCTAAATATTTTTTCAGAAGATATTTTGAGATGGGTACAAGTCCTTTATGCACGATATTTTATAATAAGTTGTTTATATTAAGTGGGATAAGACGTTGTAAATGATTTTCTAACTCTACAAAACTTAAACTTTAATCCTTTAGCGAACGGATCTTTAGTTTACAAAAGTTTACAAACTACTTACATTTAAGTTTTGTAGAGTTAGAAAATCATTTTACCCAACACAAATTTGCTTATTTTGATTCATAACATCATATATATATATATATATATATATATAGATAGAGAGAGAGAGAAAGAGAGAGAGAGAGGGGATGGGGGATATTCATGGGATAAAATTAGAATGATAAAAAAATATGGTTTAGTTTGATATAATATAATAGACTTATTATGTCAACCTTATTATTATTTATACTTGACCAAATTGGATGTAATGAAATTTTTATTCATATTCCCATTCTTTTGCATTCTCATTTTTTTTCTTAAAATAAATCAAACGTCCCCTAAATAAATACTAAAATATTTAAACATAATCAATTAAATAAAAGATAGGTTTTAGGACCGAACACACTCGGGTTCCTCATCTTTTTATGAAACTTAGTGACATTTTTGTAATAATGTGAGAGAATGACTAAGAGATGAAACCAACTCTTGAAATTAGTTATTTTTATTTATTTCCTTAAATAATATGATAAATATAAATTAATAAATATTAATCTATTTTTTATACAAAATTAAATAAATATAAAAATGACCAAAATGCCACTACATTAACGGAAGTTAGGGCAATCCGTAATGAAAATGAAACCAAAGAGACCTTATCCATGACTTTTAGGGTGCGTTTGGTATGCAGATTGGACGGGACGGGACGAGACAAAAAAAATAGTCCCAYGTTTGGCATGCCATGGACAAAAATTACATGGGACAAGATGAGACTATTTTTAAATTTCATGGTACAAAAGTTGATGATTTTTGTTCCACCAAAAAATGTGGAACAACATGGGACTAGATGCAAATTTACTTACTTACCCTTAAACCCAATAGAAAACCAAAATCCTCCTTTGCCCTCGTCTCTTTCACACCAGTTCCACTACCACATCGCCTCCTTCCACCATCTCCTTCCACTGCCTCCTTCCATCATCTCCTTTTGGCATTTGGTATTTTTTTTTATAGATTTATAAAAAATGGCCGATCGTCGTTGGTGGACAACGGATGAAGAAGACTTGTTGATCACAATTCTTCAAGACATTGTCATCAACAGGGGTAGAGGTGACAATGGAAGATTTAGGTCGGGTACATATGAGGCCGTTGTTTCAAAGATGAGGGAAAAAATTCCCGGTATTAGCCTCACGGCGAAACATGTACAAAACAAGATTAAACGACTAAAAGATAAGTATTATGCCGCTTATGATATGTTGAATACAAGCGGATTTGGATGGAATGACGCAAATCAATGCATGACTGTAGAAGCTCCCGAGATTTTGGAGGAGTATTTAAAAGTTAGATATTAGTAATAGTAATAGGTTATGTATAATACTTTTTGTTACTTCTCTTAACAATTGTTTATTTGTTTTTTGTCGTAGAAACATCCCAACAAAAATTACACGGCGAATAAGCCATTCCCAGCTTACGAGCGGTTGAAGTTGGTGTTCGGAAAAGATCGAGCAACGGGAAATATGGCTGAGTCAGCTACAGACGCACTACATAATATGAATATGGAAGACAACGAAGATTTTTCAACTGAATTTGGTGTTCCTCCCTTTCCAAGTCCGTCAGATCCAACTTCTCCTTCCTTCATTCCTCCAAGTGAAGGAGAAGAAACAAGTAAAAAGAGAAAAAGGACAACCGAGTTATCAAAGATGGTGGAAGCAACCAAGAATTCGATCGATGAAGCAACCACCCAAATGAAAATGATATATTCGGTCATTTCGGATTCTACACTCGCCATGGATGGTTTGAGAGAAGAGTTGAGAGGACTTGGGCTTGGGGTGATTGAAATCATTCAAATGGGTAAGTACTTTGCGGACAAACCATCTCAATATCGGTTTTGGAAGAGTTTGGATGATTATATGAAAATAGAATTTGTGAAGTCAATTTACGATGAGATCAAGTAATGTGTCTTAGAGGATGATGAAAACGATGGTCCTTTTGGTAGATTTTTGGTACATTTGACATCCAATAGGAGATGATGAAAACGAT